CAGTATCTTTCTGAAATCACGTACGTAAGTACTACTTCCGACGAGAATTCATTGGTCAATGATATCGTGTATCGACTATTAGTTTCGAAATTATACGCTCCAAACAAATTAAGCCCAAATCGAAATTGGGGAAAAAATTGAGAAAAACCTAATTTCGTAGTATCTTCTGAAATCACGTATGTAAGTACTACTTCCATGAAGAATTCAATGGTGCAAAGATAATCGTGTATCCGACTATTAGTTTCGAAATTATACGCTTGTTAACAAATGAAGCCAAACCGAAATTAGGACAAAAAAATTGGAAAAAACCTAATTTCGTAGTATTTTTCTGAAATCACGTATGTAAGTACTACTTCCGACAAAGAAATTCAACGGTGCAAAGATATCATGTATCGACTATTAGTTTCGAAATTATCGCCTGAAACAATTAAGCCCAAATCCCGAAATTAAGACAAAAAATTGGAAAAAACCTAATTTCGTAGTATCTTTCATAATCGCCGTATGTGAGTACTACTTCGACGAGAAATTCAATGGTGCAATATATCGTGTATCCGACTATTAGTCGAAATTATACGCTTAAAACAAATTAAGCCAAATCCCGAAAGTGGGGCAAAAAATTGAAAAAACCTAATTTCGTAGTATCTTTTCTGAAATCACGTATGTAAGTACTACTTCCACGAGAAATTCAATGGTGCAATGATATCGTGTATCCGACTATTAGTTTCGAAATTATACGCTTGAAAACAAATTAGCCCAAATTCCGAAATTGGGGCAAAAATTGGAAAACCTAATTTCGTAGTATCTTTCTAAAATCGCGTATGAGTACGTACTTTCCGACGAGAAATTCCATAATGCAAAATATCGTGTATCGCGACTATTAGTTTCGAAATTATACGCTTGAAAACAATTAAGCCAAATCCGAAATTAAGGCAAAAAAATTGGAAAAACCTAATTTCGTAGTATTTTTTCTGAAATCCGTATGTGAGTACTACTTCCGACGAGAAATTCAATGGTGCAAAGATATCGTGTTTTTCCGACTATTAGTTTCAAATTATACGCTTGAAAACAAATTAAGCCCAAATCCCGAAATTGGGGCAAAAAATTGGAAAAACCTAATTTCGTAGTATCTTTCTGAAATCGCGTATGTGAGTACTACTTCCGACGAGAAATTTCAATGTGCAAAGATATCGTGTATCCGACTATTAGTTCGAAATTATACGCTTGAAAACAAATTAAGCCAAATCCGAAAGTGGGGCCAAAAAATTAAAAAAACCTAATTTCTAGTATCTTTCTGAAATCACTTATGTAAGTACTATTCCGACGAGAAATTCATCGGTCAATGTATCGTGTATCCTATAGTTTCGAATTATACGCTTGAAAACAATTAAGCTTAAATTCCGAAATTGGGGCAAAAAATTGGAAAAACCTATATTTCGTAGTACTTTCTGAAAATCACGTATGTAAGTACTTAACTTCCGACGAGAAATTCAAGGGCAAAGATACGTGTATCCGACTAATTAGGCTTCGAAATTATACGCTTGAAAACAAATTAAGCCCCAATCCCGAAAGTGGGGCAAAAAATTGGAAAAACCTAATTTCGTAGTATCTTTCTGAAATCGCGTATGTGATTGTGAGTACTACTTCCGACGAGAAATTCAATGGTGCAAAGCAGACGTCAATCCGAATATTAGTTTTGAATTTATACGCGTGAAATCAAATGAGGCCTCAATCCCGAAATTGGAGGCAAAAATCGGAAAAAACCTAATTTTGTAGTTGCTTTCTGAAATCGCGTATGTAAGTAGAACTCTCGACGAGAAAATCAATGGTGCAAAGCAGACATCAATCCGAGGTGTAGTTTCGATATTAAACGCTTAAAATCATATAAAGCTCAAATTCCGAAATTGGGGTTAAAATGGGTAAAAACTTAATTTCATATTTAGTTTCTGAAATCACGAATATGAGTACAACTCTCGACGAGAAATCCAATGGTGCAAAGAAAAAACGTCAATCCGACTATTAGTTTTGAAATTATAGGCGTGAAATCAAATTACGCCCCAATCCCGAAATTGGGGGCAAAAATCGGATAAAAACTAATTTTGTAGTTGCTTTCTCAAATCACGTATGTAAGTACAACTCTCGACGAGAAATTCAATGGTGCAAAGAAAAAACGTCAATCCGACTATTAATTTCGAAATTATAGGCGTGAAATCAAATTACGCCCCAATCCCCCCCCCTAATTTGTTATTTTTTTCTGAAATCACGTATGTTAGTACAACTCTCCACGAGAAATACAATGGGTGAAAGCAGCCGTCAATTCGACTATTAGTTCCAAATTATACGCGTGAAATCAAATGTGGCCCCAATCGCGAAATTGGGGGCAAAAATCGGAAAAAAACTAATTTTATAGTTGCTTTCTTAAATCACGTATGTAAGTACAACTCTCGTCGAGAATTTCAATGGTGCAAAGCAGGCGTCAATCCGACTATTAGTTTCGAAATTATACGCGTGAAATCAAATGAGGCCCAAATCCCGAAATTCAGGGAAAAAAACCTAATTACGTAGTTTCTTTCTGAAATCTCGTATGTAACTACAAGTCTCGACGAGAAATCCAATGGTCCAAAGCAGACGTCATTCCAACTATTAGAATCGAAAATCAACGCGTGAAATCAAATTAGGCCCAAATCCCAAAATTGGGGAGGGGGGGGAGTGGAAGAACCCTAATTTGGTTGTTTCTTTTTGAGATCACGCATGTAAATGCAACTATTGTCGAGAAACTCAATGCTGCAAAGTCAATCCGACTGTTATTTTAGAACCTTTTAAATACGAATGGGAAAGGTGTTTCCCTCAGCATTTTAACCCAGCCGTACGAACGGGATACTTTTGGCTTGACCTCCAGAGGCGCGCGTGGGGTCTTATCTCTCGCTTGCTGACGTATGGCAAGCCGCAGTGCTCCGATTCTCACGCATAGGAGCTCCGGCCTACGCTATCAGGCAGGGTGTTGATGGAGTACCGTCTTGCGGTAGGAAGAGCGAGCGTGGGCTACTCTGATATTTCTTGCTTTTACAGTGCGCAGCAGCTCGTGAGACATTCGGGAATATTGATCGCCAGTAAACCTTCGCTTGGTGACGTCATTCGAATCTCAATATAATAATAATAATCATTATTACTCTAATTATAATATGACATACCACACTAAGAAGAGAATAAATGATTTATGTTTTCATTTTATAAAGGAATTTTGGTATAGTATGGCATATTTATATAACATCCACTAATTAGTTCCATAATATATTACATTAATTTCATGGGTAATAAATCAATTGTGCCAGAAATAAATCTTTCTACAGTAGGAGGTAACAATGGGGTAAACTCATGTCAATAGCAATGCAATAGATGTATTCATTTTATATTTTGTTATGTATTGTTTTGTATTATTTGCAATGTCTTAATAGTTTATTGTTTTGGTATAAACCATCTTCCTGGTGCTATACAAATATCTCTTCAGTCAACAAAGCTTCTCTTTTGTTAGTGCGCTTTTTTCTTTAGTCCCTTGTACTTATATGTAAGGCTTCACTGTGTACCACTTCCCGTCACACCCCATAGTTAAAACAAACCCGCCTCGGCCCACGCTTCTCATGGGCGATCGCAGTCTCGTTTTGCGTTTGCTAAATATTCTAAATATAAAGGCATTGTTAACATTGTGCAGACGTTGTGCAATGTTGCAACGTTGTGCAGACGTTCTGCAACGTTGTGCAGACGGGGAGGGTGGTGTAAAGAATAAAAAAAGTACCAAAAAAAAGAGGATCATTGATATTATTTTATTTTATAGAGGAAACGTTTACACTGTCTTACTCAGTTAATCCCTTTAAATCTCTATCAAGAAGGACTTTCAACACTGGGAGGGTATCTGTCATCACTCGTCGAAGTTAAACCTCCACTTGGGTCAAGCAAATTCGTCTATTTAAAAAAAGTCCATGCCGCACGGAGTGGAGAAGGAAAAAAACTCCGTAGCTAAAAGGCATGCCCAAATGCATATAGACTCCCTAAAATAAAAAGGTATTAATTTAAGCAAAGTGTGTAAATATCTTCAAACAAATATAAAAAGATATAGAAAGGGCAGCATGTATGAATATCACTATATTATGACCCTAAATCACAGTGCACGCAACCATTGTAAGCAAACGGTGTCACACGCTGAAGGCAACATGTGTTACCACATGCTTTGGCATTCTTAAATTTGGCACCGAGGATCAGGTTTACAATTATAAGTCCTCATCGGGACTAATCAAGTCTAAGAACGTGGATTCTTGATTTCCCCGTGTCCAAGTTACAGTAATTTTCAATTCGCAAAAAACCGAGCGGATTAACCGTAAAAAAATGAGACACCTGAGTATACAAAGTAGATTCATGTTTTGTCACACGGCTCTTAGATGGTAACCGAAAGCAGCACAGCTGTGACAGCATGCGAATGCAATGGAAGTCGCATTCTCAGAGCAAGGGTCTCCGTCAAGACCGTTTATTCCAATGTAAAACGAAGTGAATCGTTACGAGTGTATACCGTAGAAGACGTTTCTCCAGATGGCAAGCATTTTGTCACTTGTCCGAGCTTATAAAATTTGTGTAGGTAATTGAAGTATCGGGTCCTGTGATGCATTACTTTTGTTACCTACGATTAACCCCCAAGGGTCACACGAAAGCAACGTCAGCGGGTTGAAAGCATAGTAGCAGCACAAAATCAGATGCGAGAATAGGATGTGAACAACAGACTGGTGACTTTCAATTTTATTCTTAACGTTTTTAATGTTTATGGCAGTAATTTTATGCTTTTATGGGCAGAAAACATTCTCATTGAAGTTTGGGAGCAGCAAACGGCGTGTTGCATATTAGACAAGCTTAAGTTGCTGCGAATAAACGCGACGTTTTACAGGATCATTAGGTTAACAATAATGTTCTCCCAACAAATATAGACAAGCTGTTCGAAATAACACCAGATGAACACAATGGCATATCGATTGAACAACTTCTGCCCCAAGTAGAATGTCAACGTGTCCCAACGAGTCAGACACAAGTGGCGCTGACAGCGGCGCGAGCTTTGAGCTTCTTCGCTAGACGCCTGCTGAAAAAGCTAGTTTTTAACATCGTGTTTGAAACGTTTTTTGCAGCTGGAACCCCAACCCCTTCGTGCGGAACACCGTGTGGGCCACCGTCGTCGGCACCACCTTCACCTGGCTGTGCGGCTGCGCAGTGAACCAGGGCACCATGCAAAAGTTCCTCTCCCTACCTACGCGACCCAGCACCCACAAGTAAGGAATCTCAAGCAATGGGCGGGCGTTTTGGCGAGCGTTTTAGTTTTAAGACGACAGGAACAACGTTATAAACATGATTATTTCTGAGAAATTACCAATTAGCGTTGTAATCTATATTTCCTTGAAAGGGGGAATATGAACTGAAACGCATTTCGACAATGTTTTACAGACACATTTTATTCTTAAACGAAGCTATTTAATCTTTCGATTATAGACAAGTATTCCTCTACTAGTTTAATTATAATGATAAATAATGTAAGGAACTTCTTTTGTATGCCAGTTTAATTGATATGTCGAGACGTCAACCGCAACAAATACTTTTTCTGTGAAAAAAAAAAAGCAAGTTAAGTGCAGAAACATGTAAATAAAGTACACAAAAATGTTGCCGGTTTTGAACAAGAGCTTTGGTGTATTGTGCTTAAGTGTATACGTTACTTTAAGTACCCAATGCACCAATTCTGAGAGAAAATAATTCTTCCAATTCTCATCCCTACATCGGTAATTAGTATGAAAAGCTATAATTCGAAACGCATCGGGCCTATGGGCCGCTGCGCTGAGCTTCATCTACTTAAGTGAAAGCTTCTCCCAACCACTGAACCGCTCCAAACACTGGTGTACTCACGAGCCACATTGAATTCTCAGAACTTAAAACGTTTTATTTATCCTCTTTGGCATTTCGATGTATCAATTCTTCTTTGTTTACAGGGCCATCATCCTATTCGCAGGAGGAATCTGCCTTATGAAATTTCTCAGCAGTTACTCCGGCCTCATAATCTACGCCAACTATTACAATTGCGACCCACTCAAAACGCAGGTAAGCTTTTAATCTGTGAAGTAAATGTGAAAAGTCCATGGTGCAAGCATTTTCATACACGATCATTGCTTCATTCAATAATTTTCTAGCACGCGTTTTTGTATGGACAATTATTAAAGAAAACAATTTTGATGCATTATTGAGTCATAAATAATATTCCACACTGCTTCCATATATGATAAGTTAGTTACATTCGCAACGATTCATTTGCTAAGTTTCACTTTTAAGTAAGTTTCGAGAAGGTTTTGTAACTCTGAAAAGAAGTGCTGACAATCAAATCAAGAGAAACTAATATATACATGCTTCAAGTAGTCTATTATGCTACTCAAGACGCTTTGAAGGGAGAATCAGACACCATACATTCAGAAATTTTTCAACAAAAACAATTTAGTTCTTGCGTAATAACATTCGAAATGTATTTGGTATTGAAAGTGGAGTTATTCTCTTTGAACGCGTAAGTCATCGCCTTTAGCCCCTATCGCCCAGGGGCTCAGCGCCGTCAGCGCACGGGCCCTTGAGACGGTCACCCATTCAGAGACGCGCAGTGTTTCGAGCTGCGTAACTTTCGTGACTTCACAGAGATTTATTAAAAAGTTCAGCAATCAGTGTAAGGGTATAGTGGTCGCTTGTTTCTGTAGTGTTCGCAAACCTATTTCGATACTAAATAGCACAGTTAGAGTCATCAATTAATTGCCATGCTGACCCCCTCGAATATCTGCAAAAGCACTTAGATTCCATCAAATTCATAAAACGGCCCATCTGAAGGCTGAAATCTGTGCACAAAGCCTCGCGGGGTGAAAAAGCGCTCGCCCACAATGCGTCTGTCGGCGGGCGGGGGCGGCGCGCGGGCGAGCAGGCGGCGCCCCACGTAGCTGCGCCCTTCTTGCGGCGCAGATTAATCGCGAGAGTAATTAAATATCCCGCGAGATGCGTCATTAGTGGGCGGCCAGCAGGTAGTCGCCAGCGGCGCCCCCCGGCGCAGCTCCACACCCTTCCCCCACGCCACACCCCTACGCCGCCGTCCGCCTCGCTCAACCCTGACTAGCACAGCGCCGCCCCGCCATGTCCCGCCCCGCCCCTCCCTACAAAGCCCCGCCCTAAGGCTCGCACTGCGCCGCGAGTTGCGCTGTTTCAATTTATGCCCCGCGGTGCGGCAAAAAGGGGCGTCTCAGGACCGCCCCTGCTGGCAGCCCCGCCCTCACCGCGCTGTTTTGCGGAACATACACTCGCTTTGCCTGGCGCCCTGGGGCACCTTTCTTTCACCTGGGATCTGCTCCATGCTTCCAGGCATCTTTTCCCTGATGAACTAGACACAATTCGAAGATTTGCTTTGATTTGATGACACTGACCAATGCAATCAGTCGCGAAAATGATTGCTGTTTTTAATTGTGGATTAAATGTGTGTCAGTAGTGAAGTAAATATTGTGTGAACCGGTTTATTTTTCCTGGGCAGAGAACGTGTAGTAAGGGTTTGGAAGAGGTGTATGTATTATATTTCTCCCGCATTCGTTACGTATTTTTTTACTTGCTCTTACATTAGTAAAATGCTTTTTTAGAGGTTGTGGCTTTCTATCATCTTTTATTCGGTCACAATTTGGTTATGCATTCCATTTTCTGTTGTGCAATACGGTGTATAAATCCTACCACAATGACTACTACTCGTACATCAGAATTTCAATAGGATTGCATTTGCGAGTCAGAAGCTTTCACCCTACTCTTACGCCGCTTCTGATCTTCCCCGCATACATCACTCTGAAAATAATATTTATTTTACTTTTTCATTACAGTCCTCGCGTGAAGCGTATTGCGTCAGACTTAATCCTCACGCGACACTTGATACACCGCCTATTTATTTCGTATCTCTTTGCTCATCTCCAGGCAAACATTTACGTCAGTCCTCTCTTGTTTCCTTTCTCTAGATTTGATGTCTATTTCTAGATTTTCTCTAGAATTATTATTCATTAATTTCGATTAGACATATCCTCAGACACTAAGCCCTGCTTAACACTGATATAATTTAGCACACTCACATGATGTGTGTCCGTTTCATCGTCCTCAGTTGCTTCAAGCCTACATTTCACTCTATAACGCTACGTCCCTGCGGACTTATATTCGAACTTCACGTTTTACAATACCCTGCATGGAGAACATAATGTTATACACATGTAGTCACAAACATATGCTACATGACTTCACTTGGAATTTAGCTATTATTCTCATAGATTTATATTTCTGTTATTCAATGTTCTCAACTTCCATTAAATTTTCATTCCGTCGCCATCTTGCTACTGTTCGCTTTCGTTTCCTTTAGTGGACGCCGCACTATGTCAGTCCTATTCGTCGGTTTTTCTTTCTGTTCCCTCTCAGCGGGTTGTTCTTATCTCCAGTGCACGTCTTCCGGGCTCCGCCCCACTCCGGCCGGCTGAGTGAATCTCGCCTGAGATACGAATCGCCCCCCCCCCCGCCAATTAGAGTAGCCACGCCCAAAGGACACCTCTCCAACAATCCATTTCTCTCTCCGCTCTCCCCCACCCTATACATCCTACTCTGGAGATACCTTGAGGATTCGGCTGAGGTTTAATTTTATTTATCTGTACACTCCGTCAAGCTCCCCTTGCCGACGTGGAGGGCCCTTGCTATCGTGCGGCACACCTCGGGCCCTCGGGAGCTGACGAACTCAGCCCTCCCCTCAGCTGTCTCCTTCCGGCTCTCAGGGGAGATGGGGGCAAATTTGTCTTCTTTCCAGCCCTCAGGTGTTGGATTAGAGATTAATTATTGATTTCCTGTGAATCATTGAAAATCAGAGGGGACAAAATTTGAGAAAAAAATAATGTAATTTGTTAAACTTGTTTTGGCGTAATAGTAAACACTGAAATGTTTCGAATTTGAAATGACGAAATGTTTTAAGCATGTTTTGGGCGAAACTTCAAGAAGACCCTTATGAAGCCGAAGAATTGATCGGTGATGGCATATTTTATAATTCTTCCAGGAGGTGTTGCACGAAATCACGATTTCTTTACTGAAAAACAAAAACCAAAAACTTTTACACGCTTGAATAGCTTAATGTTTGTCTGAAAACAGAATTTTAAAAAATTAACTTTTTATAGTAGTATTTAATTAGTAGTAATTTTTGCAAATTATTTCATGTTAACGAAAAGACAAAAGTTATCAGAAAAAATCATTTAAATTAAATTCGTCAATTCTTGGAAATAAATTCACATTTCACGAGCTAAGGTACCAAAATCAGTGCTTTGCGTTTCCGAGCCAAACAACTTTGTTAATCATTGCAAAGTAAAGAGGTTTCACGCTATTTTTAGTTTTAAATGCAGTTTTTCTTTTCGTTTCAGGCGATCTCACGACCTGATCAGTTACTTCCCTTTTTCGTAATGGACACTACTGGCAACATTCCTGGGTTACCGGGTCTGTTCATTGCAGGAGTGTTTAGCGCTGCTCTAAGGTAAATAACATCTTTATACAGAGTTACGTAATATTTAATTTCCTGCAGGCTTTGTGTTACCCTGAAACGCAAATCTAATTTTATTTACTAACTTAAAGGAATTATTATCTAGGTAAGCACAGCTATAAAAAGCTATAGAAAAGGATAATAGACGTTCTGAAGTTGAAAAAGTACTCGGCGTATTGTTGTTGTTGTTGTTGTTGTAAATATAAACTTATCACGTACTTTTAATTAAAACTACACACACTCTATATATTTATATTCGTTCCGAGAACGTAAATAAATTTGTTAGGTATTTTGTGAGTGAAACATCTCAAGAATCCTTGAGGCAAATGAGAAAAATAATGTGAAAAGAAAATAGCATCATATTCAAAAACGCCACGCAAGAATTTAGTAGATATCAATCCACCTAAATTGCGTCGATTGATGCAACGGTAATCCATATGTGAAGGTTCGGACCACGAATGTGGCAATGATGCTCTTTGATTGTGTCGTGTTTGAAAGCAAACCGCCAGGCATTCTAGATTTTCATCTGATTCATCAGTTTGCAAATGCCAAAGTCAATATAGTTTTAATTCTCTGTAGAGGGGGTCGAGGATTATAAACAGTCGGCAGGTTTTGATTTTTCGATTTTTAAACCGAAATAATTAATAAATTAAACAACACAAAGAAGACAAAACATGAAAGCCGTTTGCAGGGTAGACCTTTTCTGGATTTTCTTTCATAAGCTGCAATACAAGATAAAGCTTTAGCGGATTTGAAAAACGGAAAAAAGTATTTTGTTTTTCTAATGAAAATGAACATAGTTAAATAACACAATATTATAAAATAGTTGTTCATTCTATACAGCAAAATAATCGTGATGAATAGACGGAGTTGGGTATGGGTGTTGAAGAGATCGTATTCTGTCCTGTCCTGTGGCTCGACAGTCCGACTACGGGGCATGGCAGACCGGGCTTCTCGGCCATGGGTGTGGTTAGCACGAAGACATCCCTCAATCGATAAACTGGTCTTCATAATTTTAGGGTGGGCTTTCTCATCGTCACACAGCAATAGGCACTGGTACATTTGCAAGGAAAGCACTTTTGGCCCGGCCGGTAATCGAACCCGGGGCTGTGCTTTGGAACGCGAGCACCCTAACCAGCGAGCCACCGAGGGCGTGAGCGGCGGGTGCGCATGGCGGTGTGTGTGCGTGTGTGCCGCAGCTCCATGTCGAGCGCGCTCAACTCGCTGGCCGGCACGCTGTACGAGGACTTCGTCTCGCCGTGCCTCAGCGGCAAGCTGACGGAGCTGCAGGTGAACCTGGTGATGAAGACCATCGTGGGGCTGGTGGGCGCTATCTGCGTGGGGCTCGTCTTCGTCGTGGAGAGGCTCGGCGCCGTGCTCGAGGTGCGCTCGCCCGCTTTACAGTAGATGCTCCACTTTGCAGGTTTGAAATACGACACAAACACTGTAATATGTTAACTCAAAAGCAACGAGGTACTTGCAATGACACGAACTCAACCAATTGTGTATGTGAGGGGGAATCCCCTCTAAGAACTTCATTTATATAGATTTTATGCTCAGGGCAGTGGTGTGATGAGGGTGGAAAGGGAGAAGTGAGCTTAGGATTACGTGTCTGTGATGGTTACGGTGGTTTGAATTGATGTTTAGAAAGGCGTGATTTGATTCTGGTAGCACCATTATTGCGTGACTGACACTGGGAACCAGGTTTAGGTTGGTGAAGAATTTTTTTGTCAATGCTGAAATGTAATGAGTAATGATATCGATGTTTAATTATCTGTGGAGCTGTTGGATTGGTTAATTCGATATATACACCCCCAGACATTTTAAGTCAAATATTTTAACTAGTTTAATATAAGAGGTTGAGGTATAAGACATCATATTAACAGTGAATGCAGATTAATATTTGTATTTTATCTGCAACCAGTTTCGCATCGAACTTCTTATTCGAATCGACACGCACATACTAATTTCTTGGATGAGCGCTTGGTGAAATATTCATCACTATACATTCTTGTGGGATATTGTGAATACTTCGATTCTCATAACATATGTGGAGAAATTTAGTAGAAACAATACCTTATGCAATCATACACTCATTAATTAAGTCAAGTATAAATAACATCAGAAAAATATACATAAAACGAAGTTGTACATATGTACAAAAGTAAAAACAATTATGAACAGCTGAAGAACGAGAATTGGTAGCAAAGTGTTTCCGTGTATGGAGTAGTTCGTACGGACGATTCATATTTGGAACATACACACACGATTTGAACTCGCAATAACTTCCGAGTGATCTGGAACATGGTTACGACACAATTGTTTGATGGAGCATAGATGACAATTAGTGACAATAGCATGCGATCAATTCGTCGCACAATAACATGAGTTCATTTGGGCGACCGCTCAATGGCAATCGGTGACAGTCTGGCTGATACGGCTGTGTCACTCTAGGCAACGCTTCCCACATAATGTCCAGAATAACGAGTGAAGTCATTTGTCTCTTACTTACATTACCATGTTCGGAAATGTACTCCATTATAAGACATACTCGAATGTAGAAAAGATATAAAAGAACCGAAAAGATACGTACTCCCACTCATATTAATGGTGAGCGCTTTAAAAATCGAGTTTTATTGTGAGAATTATTCTTGTCGAGGAAAATAGAAACTGTGAATAAGAGTGTCATTTAATGTTAATTGTACAATGGACTGCACTCTGCAACAATTGATATGCTGCGATATGGATACTAACGATGCTGCTGAAAAAATAAATATAGTATTACAATTATGTTTTCTTTATTCATTATGTAAAATTGTTAATTTTGTCAATTTTATTTTGCTCTTCGCTCCTTACGTAAATAAGCGACTTTTCCCATAAACACAGAGGTGAATATTTATTGCCCTAATCAATTTTGCTGCTTTTACTTTTTCTATTCCTACTACTACACAAAATATCACAATAAATGTTATACACTTTTAGGGTAAATCTATGAACAAAACCAGGGTCAATCGGAACGTAGGATTTTCATCAAAATTGACATTCTATTTGGCTGATGTCGAGAACCAAGGAATTTGAAACTAATTTTAAACGTGTTCGTTGTACAATACATGTACGCCAATGACATTTTCAAAATTTTCTCAATAAAGACAAACTTTTTATGATTTTTATTTTCTCGAAAAGACTAATGAACGCTTGTAAAAATGATACAAGTCTAACATTTATTAATACTTGAGAAATTTTGAAAATTGCATAAGTTAATTTTTATCGACACTTTCCCGTATCTACATTTTAAAGATATTTTTCTAGTGCAATTTATTCTTAATTCTAAATCTTTGAATAATGGGTTGTAAACTTCTCTAGATTATAAGTCGTTATCTCGTAATTTTGAGTTACATATTGACAATACAAACACGTAAACAAGATTTTCTAAAAACATTAAGTTTTGCTATAAACGTTTTCAAATAACAATACACTGAATTCTATTACGATATAAATGGAATTCCCATTAAAACCTCTAAATTAAAAAAAATAGAATTATGTACTTTTTAAAATTAGCCATGCTTGCTTGGTGTAGAGTTTTTCAAGAGTTGACTGAAATACTATTAGTTACACTTTGCAATATTATAGTATTTGAAATGCTAAGCAAATAATTGTTTTATTTTATTGATGTCCACTTATTTTGACATTCAGAGAGGGACGAGAGACCATCACACTTGTAAAAGACTATAAGAGGCAGTAATCAACTTATTTTATAAAGTGGTATCTTTATCATGGGAACCGTATACTATATTTCTATGTTTAGATCATTCAAATGTCTTGCTTTTGTTTTCCTTAAAGTATTTGACCGAATTAAACTACCTTTCTCCGATGATTAGATTCAATTTATGTTCATAACCTTTTTAACAAATAATAAAAATTACATACAACAAAGCCGTATTACAGATAATACGAGACAATAAGTGCTGCTGTAGCACCTCTAGTTTATTTGCAAACAACTATTCTCTTTGAGTTAGATAAATTCATCCCTGGAAGTCGAAGTAACCCGTCGCTACATTAAAACAAGTATAGCAATGGGCTTTGATTTCCTTCAGAGAAATTAATTTCTGTAAGGTATTAAGTGGTTCACGAAAAAAATACCTAATTGAAATTATTATATTAGGTATTTTAATTATTTGCCTTTTTCACTTTTCAGCTGGGTTACAGTATTGGAGGCATCACTGGAGGAGCTTTACTTGGCCTGTTCACGTTAGGAATTCTCTTCCCTTGGGCCAACAGCAAGGTGAGATATAATACTGGATATTCTCGTTTTCAATCCATTTCATGTTTCTTTTCTTATTTACTTTACGTTTCTTCGACATTCACACATTTCTGTTATGCATTTCCCAGTTCCACATGCGTTCATATGCAATAAGTTACGACTTATTGGTGCTCGTGCATTCTAGAATGGAAGATTAATTTGTATAGTTTCTTCAGTACTTTAGATATTTTAAGTTGTGACTGTTTTATTTACTATGAGATTAATTTTAATTTGTCTAGTACAAAGGCACGATAATTTACATAATACAAAATGTATGATATAGAAACATTGTTTTTGAAATAAATTATTCTCTCGAGTTTTACAAGCATTATCAATAACAAAAAATAGAATCACGATAACGTGTTAAGAAATCGAAACACTCATAATAGTCATATTTTTAAATTCGTAATTTCTATTTCGAAACAGCGAATAAAACTATTTTCACCTTAAATTCTTATATTAATCTCTGTGATAACTATATAACTAATGGTGTATGCAGTTTTGTTTAAGTTAAACTTAAAACATCCCAGCAAAACAAAATACAAATTGAAAAAATAGTATGCCATAAATAACATTCATCAATTATAATGTGGAGTAATATAGATTAATTTAGACAATGTATAATTTAAAGCTTGTCAATCTGTTAAATTAATATTTTATTACATTATTTTCATTAGACTCTGAAGATTAAGGTCAATGTCCTTTGAAACATAGATCTAAAAAATGTAAAAATCAAAAGTAAACTGTATTGCCAAGCGGAGGCCTTGCGCGTTGTCGACGCGGGCTGAAAGCGCGCTGGCGTTGGCAGGGGGCGCTGGCGGGCAGCGTGAGCTCGCTGCTGTTCATGGGGTGGCTGGTGCTGGGCGCGCAGCACGCCCACGTCACCGGCCAGATCCACGACCCCTGGTTCCCGTCCTCCACCGACGGCTGCGGCTTCAACGTCACGCTCGCCCCGGGGCCCGACAAGCACGGGCCCGTCTCGTGAGTACCGCCATGGACCATTCTCTCATCTCACAAAAAATCCATGTTCATACTAACATATCTTCAAAACCACTAAAAATATCAAATTTACCTTCAAAACTATAGTCAGGACTTGTCGCTTTTATTTCTAAACATGGGTGAAAAATTAGATTGATATCTTCACTATTAAAAAAATTAAAAGAATTAAATCATTGCTGAAGGTATTAAAAAACCACAACATTACTCCCAAGTTGTTCAAAACGCTCTCGTTAACACCAAACCATATTACAGAACATTTCTTCTATTAACATAAAATATACAACATAATTATAAAAAAGTTAAACCCCTGAAAAATTGTAGGATTGAACTCGTAGGAAATAAATATTTTAAAAAAAGCTGCAAATTACGTGCTATTAAATTTTGAATTTAGATGAAGTAGTTGAGCTATTTTCCAGGACGTGCGCTTTGAACTCAAAGAACCACGTGCCTCTTGCGTATAGAGCATCAGATGGAAGATAAGAGATGTATCTAAATTGCTGACTACATACATCAACTTACATCGTAAAATGTTCATCCTTTTCGCAAATCTTCTTGGTACTATATAAATCAATGCTCAGAAAGATACGCGATTACAAACTAATTTTTAATCCCCAGATACTGTGAAGGCACATCTTACATTACAAAGCTGAATTTTTTAAACTATGTTCGTCATAAGAGAAAACTTTTTCAATTTACCAAAACATGAGGTAGGGTGTCCATACACACACGATTCAATCTGTTGTCATTGGTGGAAAGCGTCTTACCTCAGTGGTATCGTGGCTTGTTGTTTGCAGCGTAAGTAAGAAAGAAATGGTGAAAATAATTTATTTATATTTTATTTAGTTTTTACAATGTTAATTTGTGAAATTTTATTGAAGACAGGACTATGGTATTAGCAGTACACGGTGTCTCAGTATAATTATTACAAACCTTTAGACCAAAGATGATCTTCTTTTGCTAATTAACGTGTGGTGGGAAATTCCATTCAATGTCGTTGCACCCGAGACATTTACGCCTGACGGGTAGGCAATCCATCCTTCATTGGCGTTGGACGGAAATCCACTTGACTTGACCCGAACTAATACGCGATGGAGAAACACTAATGAGTAGCTATAACTCGTCTTCTTCGAAAAAAACCATCATGGCGTCTCTTAGCTTAGGTGGCGTGTCGAAGCCATCATCCACTGTTCCCTAGGGGGAGCTCAGTTTACCTCAAGGACCGCCTGCCAAGCTTACTGATTCGCTCTTGCAACTTAGTTCTCACTAGCTTCCACACTAGGGTTGGGGACGTTCGTCAAGGCCAGGCTTTCTGCTCCCCCCCCCCCGCCCAGGCTGAGGAGGCGGCGGTGTCTCCTGAAGGTGGGGATGTTGAATTGAATTAACATAGAAAACCTCGATCATGGCGTCGTCTAATTCAGGAGGCGTGATGAAGCAATGCTCTCGAGGGGGAGCTCAGTTGAACTCAAGGACAGCCTGCAACGACAACTGATTCGCTCTCGCGACTTAGTTCTCACTAGCTTCAACACTAGGGTTGGGGACGTTCGTCAAGGGCAGTCTGACCTTCCCCCCGCCCAGACCGAGGCGGCGGTGGGGGATCCTCTTCAGACGGGGGAGCTCTAAGAGGGGGAACCTACCCCTCCAACACTTTTCGGATATGCGCAGTCCTTTTTTTTCTAAGTTGTCGAGCTATAGTTTGATGATAGATACTATTGCTGAGGCCACCACAACCATTCAAAACATTAATACTGGCGCGTCATGTGTATCATTTTGATACGTGTCTTTCCCAGGGAGCCATGATTATAAAACATACTTTGAAACATCTTTGATACATACTTTTAAACATCTTTTATGCTTTCAAATGGAAAAAGTTTTGAAATTAGTCATTTCTTACTTCTGCATAACATGTGTCAGTTATAAAGCTGATAGAAAATACTATTCGTTTTAGTAATAATCGTCTGAAGCCGACCTATGCTTATGTTTAACCAAAGTCACCTGGGAGATCTAGGCGTCTGTCCGCTAGGTGGAGTTGATTGAACGCTACCTGCCGGCTGTGTTCAACCAACCATTCAGTTCAACGAACCATTTTGCTCCCCAAAACCCATAAATATGCAAGTTTACGTAACAGCTATTATTATTCGTACAAAAATCACTTTATGAAACTCGATGTAATGGTATTAATACATTCGCATGAAGGTTTTTATACTCCAGTCGCTCGCATTGTTATTCACACCCATTTGTTACTGCACTCTTCTCGAGCCTTGCGCAAGCGCTGCATTTGGTGCCTCGTGCCACCAGGCTGGTGACGCAGGAGCCGCTGCTGCTGTACCGGCTGTCGTACCTATACTACGGCATGGCGGGCACGCTGTGCGTGCTGGCCGTGGGGCTGCCGGTGAGCCTGCTGACGGGCGGCGGGCGCGTGCGCGACGCGCGGCTGCTCACGCCCTTCGTGCGCCGTCTGCTGCGCCGCCAGGGGCGCTACCCGGCCGAGGGCGCCAACGCCGGCGCCGCCGCCGCCGCCGAGAAGGAGCTGCTCGCCATGGGCGCGCGCGAGTGACCGACACGGCAAGCGAAGCGCTCCGCCCTCCCCAAGCCAAAGAGAAGTTCCCCCAAGGACCGTGCCGTGCTCCTCGACCCGCATCAGGAGTTCTCTAAGAAGTGATATGCGCGCTCTGTGCTCCCCGATCCAAAGCAGGAGTTCCCTTAGGACTGATATGCATGCTGTGTGCTCTCCGATCCAAAGCAGGCGTTTCCCAAGGACCGACATGCGCTCTCTGCGCTCCCAGATCCAAACCAGAAGTTCCTTAGGGACTGAAATGGGCGCTGTGTGCTTCCTGTCCAAAGCAAGATTTCCTCAAGGACCAGAAAAAACGCTTCGTGCTCTGCCATCTAAACCACGAGTTCCCCAAGGACTGAAATTTGCTCTCCGTGCTTTCCGATCCAAACCAGGAGTTCCCCAAGGACCGGAATGTGCACTCTCTGCGCAGGCGCGCCAGTAGCGCCGAACATCAGAGTACCTAAATGATATTTGTAGAGTCAAATTTTATAGGACACACGTGTTTAATCAGTCTTATTCTAACAGCGGTATACGATGAAATGAGAACTAAAAGTATAATAGGAGTTAATCCTTATACGTGATGCTCTACTATGGCATCATGACTGTTTTGAAAGCTAATCGTTCATCCAGTAGCTCTTTTAGTACAATTCGTCACCAATTCTGTCATTGAGAAGCAGCTATTTGTAATGTGCGCGCAGATTAAGCATGCCACCTTCAAATTACACCCCAGGCGTTCCTTAAGGGCCAAAGTGCTACCTGCGTCCGCGCTGTGTGTCCGTCTAACGTCGAACAGCAAGTGCCTGGTCAATGCGAGACGAACACAATCCAAAAATCGAAGCCTAGGCATCGAATCAAGGCTTTCGATGATTTAAACACTTTAACAGAAATGAATAGTCTCATCAACAACTTTTCTTCATTGCTCTTAACTCGTAAAAAATGGCAATGCGTTTCTTTTCAATTTGATGTGGAAATAACTGTATCTCAGCACATGCATTTCGACTAGAGGGGTGACTTCGAGGTTCAGTATTTGCGTCTTATTTTCGCGAAGCACGTGAGTAAATGAGAATGGTAGAAAGTACAGTTTTGACGGCAAAATATCGAATTCTTGAAGTGGCTGAAATTATCACGTCTGCGACAGTTCCATATTTAACGCGGTCCAGAAATAAAATAACGTATTGATATTACCGAGGACTCAGGACAGTTGGTTTTACAGTGCACTTTCAAAGTCCCTCTTTTTCTCTCCTAAAAGAACGGGGAAATTTAGCACTGCCATTGGGTGAAGAGAGTTGTTTATTATTTATATTTGATTCTATAAGATATTTGATGCTATTTATATTTGATGCTATGCTTCATGTACACAAGTACAGAATGTGAAACAGTACGCACAAAGGGAATTATGAATTTACAGTTGCTATCCTATAAACGTCCTCTATAAAGCAGACTGAAGGTAGATAGGTACATTTTCATTGTCTTAGAAAGAAGCTGACTAAAAGATTTGTTAATGTACCTGAAGTTATATTTCACTGGTTTCATAGGAAATTAATTTTGAAGTGTTAAAAACAATTGCAGTGGAGTTTTGTAAAGCTAGTTTGTTTCTAGCAAGGAGGGCTCTACGATACGTGTATAATTTTATCCTGCTTTTCACGAATTGTGATGACAAAAAAACATTACTGTATCATGTTTCGGCGAATCTCAAAATATTTTGAGAATTTAATAAAATATATTTATTTAATAAGATGCACGTAATTTCTCTTCTGCAAACACCCAAAAACATCTCTCTTTACAGGGAAATTAAAGTGTATCAAACCACATGTTTTCCCTGGAATATGAAGTGCTATGAGCTAGGACGACTTCATTTAAAAACAAAACAAAAACAACGTAAATTATTATATGAATCAAAGAGACCGTATTAAAATGGATCCATGGCATATGCGGTTAATTAATATTAAAGTATAATTTTTATATTTAGTAGTTTTAATTGAAGGAAAATGTGTTATTAAATGTCAATTAAACGTTGCATTTGGAGTATATTTGTTACACACATTTTGAATTTTTAAACTAATACTCGCAGTATCATGCAATAATGTTGGAAACGATGTTTAAAAGTTTTTAAAATTAGTAAATTGAATTGTTTAGGAAAAGGAAATAATACTCTTGTACATGATATGGTAATTTTTACGAGACATAATAACCTTGGAGGTAGAGATAATGTTCCAAGTAAAGTTACATTTGTATATTTTGACAAAGTAATTAAACTGGAATTGGGAATTAAAAGTGAAACAAAATTTTACCTAGCATACAGAAAAGGGCAACGAAATCTCGAGCAAAATATTTCGTGACCTTTTCGATCCATAGGAGATTACAAATAAATAGTGGTATTTGGTCTGTGAAATAAAGCATTATTATTATTTATTATTATTATTAATACGAATATAATCACGAAAGTACAAATAGTAAATATGGTAATAGACAAATTCTCTTGCACAGCTGGTGTTATACAAGGTGATTCTATCAGTCCTGTGCTTTATAATCAGGTTATGTATAAGATTTTGATAAATAAATAGAGATATTGTCAGGTATCAATATTTTAATTCCACTAATGATCTTTCGATCGGCGTAGCGATCATCCTCAGAGCTAAAAACAATACAAATATACCATGTGAATATTAACAGGTTGGTTATTGGTATACAGATGCGTAAGCAAACTGGACGTAACATACCTTGCGCTTCTGGGCCGAAAACAAAGTTCTGCGGAATTTTATGAGCGGTGTGTCTTGTTTAAGAGCCTACAGCCGGGTTCGCGCGCGGAGGGGGGGAAGAGTGGTGGGGTGCGGGTGAAGGGTCGTAAAAGTGTGTGGGTGCTGGTGGATGCTTGAGAGTCGGTCGGGCGAGGCGAAGGTTAGTGGGGTGGGAGGGCGGTGGGTGGGTTAGGGGGTGTACACTTTGTGCTAATTTTAGCAAGGTGAGAGAGTTCAGGGATCTGCTGGTTAAGGACATGTCATGTTTCTGTTTTTTGAGGGTGTTGTGCTATGTTGTAAGGGTTCTAATATTTATTCTGTTCCAGTACCTGTTCTCAATCTTCTTAGAATTCCGGAAATTTATTGTGTTGATTATAATGTTGTGTTTGTTTTAATTTTAGTGTGATCCGCACCAAGCTGTGAGACTGTAGGTAGTGTTATTTTTCCATGCTTGTTCTGTTCTTTGATTCTTCTGGTGTGAATTTACCGGCCTGTTTGTCCTATGATATGCATTGGCAATTGCTTGACACGTGAAGCATAACGACTCCGCAGTAAGGATGTAGGTGGGCTTGTGTCTTTAGTGTTAGCATTGAGTGGTTTGTAGTAATGTATGAGTATTGGATTGAAAAGAGTTATTTTTAGTACCGAATTTATTGCGTGTGGAGGCTATTTTTCAGAGAAAGGGGTCCTATATAAGGATTGTGAGGTACTTGGCTGTCGTGTTTCTGAATCAATTGGTGTGAGAGTAGTGTTTGGCGGATATTGAGGTGTATGTTGTTTTTATTGACTATTATTTGTCATCATGTGTGCAGTCGTATCCATTCATTTTGGCTATATGTTTTATTGTGGTTTGTTTCCTTTTTTGTGTTTTCTGGGGGACATAGGTATGGAAATTAATCGATTGCCCATTCGCTGGAAGGGCTGGCGGAAATTATTGGTACCTAGACAATATTGGCTCTTATTTATTTATCAAAATAAAAAAAGGTATCTACTTCACCAACAATCCAATTAATAATACGTACAAGATAATAGACATCGTAAAAGACATGCCGGCATATGAAATGGGATATAAAATAATCCCAGTAGTGTGCTATGCACATGATGCAGTACTATTGGCAAATTCACAAGACGATTTACAAAGAATTCTCCATACGCTATCGAAAACTGCAGAACAATATCAAATGATTATATCAACTGATAAAAGAAAATCAATGGGAATTCCAAAGGATGCAGTAACTTGTAAATTAATGGTAGATAATAAGATAATTCAACAAGACATGTAAACCGCATATTTCCAAGCCCGTGGGACACTTATAAAGAAGTTAAACAGCAAGTAATCAAAGGCGCTAAAATATCGGAATATCAAAAAGATGTAACCTGAAGAAATAAGTATCTTAATCCAGAAAGAAAAGTAAAACTATATAAAACCATAGTAAGATCAGCTGTGACTCATGGAGCAGAGAACCGGGCCGATGGTGGAAGAACTAAAACTCTACAAAGAACTTCAGAGATGACTACTTTAAGAGCTATAACAGGAAAAACATGATGGGGTAGAATAAATTATGAATATACAAGGAATGAGTGTGACGTGACGGTTACGACATGACATGACATGGCGGACATCGTTAAATTCATAAGATCAACAAGAAACGCCTTGAATGAACACGTTTCTAGGGTAGATTTAAGATCCTTAGGTAAGAGAGATCCAGGAAGACCGAAGAAAAGATGGATCAAAAGCTGGGCATTGACATCCCGCGACTCATCATGCAGGTAATGTAGGAAGAATAACAGGTTTCCAACATAGAAGACGATAATAATGATGATGATAATAACAATAATAGCAATAATAATAATAATAATAATAATAATAATAATAATAATAATAATAATAATAATAATAATGTGATAAAATAATCGGTAATCAGACCTTCATCCACATACACAAGTCTCGTTTGAAGAAGCCCATAGCTACAAAAAAAAAATGAAATTTCTACAAACTAGATGCCTCATGAAAAGTAAAAAAGCTCTGTGGTTCATAAGAAATCAACAATTACGTTGAGAATTAAAATTAAAACCCATTCAAGACTATATTCTCAAGATTTCAAAAATCTTCTACGATATACTCCTAGAATCCACAGCTACAACTTACCATCTAGGTAAGACTTACACACAACCACATAGGATGTACTCATGCTATATTAAGGGCACTTTCAACAGCTGAAAATATAATCACATACACACAAATCTACTTAACAGTACAACTAATGCTTGCCAAGCTCATGTTATACGTTAATCGAATGTACTTTTGGTGGAAGTGTATGGATTGGATCTGAGCATGATTCAGTCTATTGCGTTATGTAAACTTTGTATCAACACCCTTGACAGGCAGAAATGCCGATCAAGAAGAAATTTAAAAGGAATACGAGTATTTAACTGAGGTATTGTGTTCAAGAGTTTATCTCATTAATCTCTTGAGAGTTTATTTCTAAATCTTATGAGATTTCAGTTGTTGAATAAGTGCGTTCTGGATAAATTGTTACAATACCAGATACATATGGTGATTTACAGAAGACCTGTAATGCATGTTTTAACATTTAAGAACGGTTTCAGCTTAAACCCACTAAGTTCGTTAGCAATTCATCTCTCTGTGTTTTCGGGAGAAAATTATTTATATTTATGGTTAATAGATTCATGACAACATCCA